TATATACATAAAATGTAAATGCATAGCTCCGACACCTTTATGGCATATGCAGGTTGCCAGTGCAGATTCGCTCAACCTGCTGGTGAGGCAAGAACAGATCAATCAGGCATTTCATTGCCCTAGTTTGACACAGCCCATTCATATCAGTCTCAGGTAACAAAATTGCAACACTGTCAATCAAAGCAAATCAGAATTTTGCTGTCATTTTCTCTGTGGCAGGAATTTCTGGGTCTGTTTCTAAAAAGATCTGGTCACACTGCATCCCAAAGTTTTATTTCAGTCCCAACAGGAACCCTACTCAGAACAGAACAGTAGTGCTTTAAAGTCACAAATCTCCCCCGCTGCTTTAAGGACTCACCTTAAATGATGCCTCTTGATCAATTTCTTCCTTCCACTTGTATTCAGCAATCCCTCCAGTGCTGGTACCAGGCTCTGATCCAGCGCGGACTCCTCGTGTCCCACAGTTTCTGTCAGGGATTCTTACCTTTCCTTGTCCAGTTGCTTACAGTATAGCTTGTTTGAAGTGTCTCTGGCACTGTTTGTTCCTCTTTGGCGCCTTATTATGACCAAACCTGTTAACATCATCATTCTGCAACTAACAAAACTTCTGACAAATTCCTCTCTGAGTGATGATGCAAACACCAGTTCACTATTTAACCATCAGCTTGTCTATCAAGTCTCCGCCCTTGCTTGTGTTCTGATCTACCAAGTGCTCTGCAGTTATTCCTGTTCTCCGTGTATGACCCTGGCTATGACCGTTCCCTCTGTGCCTAGATACAAACATGTTGCGACAGTTTGGCAGTGATGCAGCTACCAACTGACCCAACAAATATCAGTGCTTACTCAACATTAACCCCTTCATTACTAAAACCAAATAAAAGGGGAACATTTAAATGCAATAAGTGGACTAAACAATGGGGTAGCTCCCGATGCTCAGCCCAATCAGCCTACTAGTTAGTCTTCAGAGAAAGCAAGTGCTAAAGCAATGCCAATGGCAGTCAACCCATAAAGTGCTCTGCTGCTGACTTGTTATAAGAACAGGGTGTCAGGGATCAGGACTCAAGAATGTGGACCCTAGCTCCACATAAGGGAGGGATTAGAGAGATGCAGCCAGTGTAGACAGACAGCCACAGAAGAAAGGACAGTTGGAAGCCAGAGCTGACAGAAGAGGAGATGGCTGGGAGTCAGCTGGGATGCCAAAGTAGAGTGCCATGGTATTAAGCAGGTAGCATGGGAGGGTTGTGCCTTTTAGGCCTTCTCTTCTGCTTCATGTAAATAGTTTATGCATCTGTACCCTTGAAATATATTTATGTGGTGATGAGACTTTGTTGCCTGTATGTATATATGTACATATGTATATAACGTTAATTTACATATTTATATTTTGTTTTCTGTACAGTTTAAATTAGGGATGTCCCGATACCACTTTTTCAAGACCAAGTACAAGCCGATATCAATTACCAATACTTTTTCTTGAAGGGACATGTGGCCTTTTAACTGACATTTGCAGTGGCCTGAACATCCACCTGGTAGAACTTGACAAAAGTGTGAACTAAGGACCAGGTGGCAGCCTTACAACAAAAAAAAGCCCAAGAAGCACTATCACTCCTAGTGAAGTGTGCTGTGACTGGACAGATGGAAGCGTTCCTCTTCAGCTCATAGGCTTAAGACATACTGTCATTTTACTGATCCACCTAGCAATGGTGGAGCGGGAGGCTGGTTGCCCCAATACATGGGCTATAAGGGATAACAAACAGAGTCAGACTGGAAACTGTTGCAGAGAAAATTTTAACTGCCTCAACTACATCCAAACAGTGGAGGAAAATTCCTTTAAGGGCCACTTCACACCATATGCAGTTGTGATGCAGTCCATTTATTTGACTGCTGCAGTCAAAATACATCACAATGCTTTCCTATGGGCTTTCTTGTGCTTTATTCACACCATTGCAGTGTGAATAAAGCACAAGAAAACCATAGGAAAGCATTGTGATGTATTTTGACTGCAGCAGTCAAATAAACGGGCTGCATCACAACTGCATATGGTGTGAAGTGGCCCTAAGATGTTTGAGTGCTGGACACAAGAAAGGCAATAGGAAGTCCTGGTTAATGTGGAAGACAGAGAAAACCTTAGGGAGAAAGGAGGCCTTGGGCCTCAGTACAATGTTATCTTTATGAACTACTAGAAAAGGCTACTTGCACATCAAGGCCACCAATTCAGAAACACACCTAGCACAAGTGATAGGGACGAGGAAAGTCACCTTGTGAGTGAGCAAATGCAAAGGGATATCTGTGAGAGGTTTAAAAAGGGTTCATAAAAGGCTTCTTCTGCTGGGGGAGATGGGTACTTCTGCCCAGTTGACATATTTGATAAGCATGTCCAGGGCAGCATCTAAGAGATACTGTCTCTCAAAGGGCATGTGCAGCTAATGCTTTTTGAACGTGGTTGTGGCCTGTGACTCGGTGATTGTGGAGGGGGAAACAAATTATTACACAGCGCTACTAAAAGTTTTTATGTGAGTTTTTAGTACATTTTAATAAAGTTTTTCTTTCAGATTTTACACAATGTAGTCTTTTATCTTCCTCTTGAGCCCTTTGAGAGAGGGCCCGTTCACACCAGCCCATCTGCTAAAATGCTCCATGGGCTAGCGCATTGTGGCAGCTGCACCAATATGCAGATGAATTTGAGAAATTATAGTTTCCATGCACGTTATGATAACCATACAAATAGTGATTTGTGACTGATCTACTTGCAGATCTTAAAGTGCAGCACAATGGCATAGTGGTTAGCACTTCTGCCTTGCAGCACTGAGGGTCTTGGGTTCAAATCCCAGTCAGGTCACTATCTACAAAGAGTTTGCATGTTCTACACCCCAAAGACGTGCTGGTAGGTTAATTAGCTCCTGTCCAAATTGGCCCTGGGCTGGGCAAGGGCTGATGTGAATCTGCACTAAAGTGCTGTGTAAATTGTGGGTGTGTTATAAATGCCTGTAATAAAAATAAACTCCAGATGGTATGTATTAACATTTTGCCTGAAGGCACTGGACCAAGATATGGAGAGTGCTGGAGCATGTAGGAGGTGTAGAG